TTTGTTTTCTGGCAAATAATTTTGTTTTCCCAAAATCAGCTGTTTTTGTATTTACCGTCAAATAATATTTGACGGTCAGATTGTGACAAAGAAATATTTGACATTTTTCGTCAAATATTTGCCCAATGTGACCTTATCTTAAGAGTGGGGGTAGAAATACCCGCTGAACTTTTAGGATTAACAAACCATTCAGTAACCTCCGTTGTATCAACCGTGTTTGGCGGGACCCCTTCGGTCACGGCGTTTGCATATGTGTTCGCTCTACCGTTTTTTAAGTTTGTAGAAGCTGGCTGAGAAACTAATATACAGTCTGAAGCGTCTTGTACTCCAGAAGCGTCAACATTATTTGAATACTTCTTAGCAACAAAAAAGCAAAAAAAAAAAAACACAAAATATAATTTAATGTTAAATGTGATGGTAAAAGTGGAGAAATAAATTATTTGCTGATATAACACAATTTACTGTAGCGGGAAATAAAATGAGCAACTTTTACGAAGAACAGAGATAGATTAATAAATAGTAAATGGCAACCCTGTTTTGTAACAAGACAGAATGTAGGAAAAAGGAATTACAAAATTTACAATAACAACCATTAGAACAATTAGAAAGGTTAAAGAAGAAGACAATTCTAATTTGATCAATTGAAATAAGAATAATTTCAACTACACATATATGCATAAAACACACTACACCAAATCACTAACAAGTATGCTCGTAAGAAATATACTTATATACGATTTTATACTAATTTGGTAACACAAACTCTACGTTGTAAAATAATTATATATCGACCAGGGGCGGACAAATCAGAAAAAGTACTTTTGTAGCATCGTAGAGGAATACATGTTATGTAATGTGTTATGTAATGTGTCTATAAAACAATAAAATAATTTTTCATTAATACTTTTTAAAAAGAGTTTCGATAGTTCATTGCCTGGCAGAAAAATACAGGTAGATGCACCAACGTTTGGGAGCATTGATATGTCAAAAAAAATTTAAAGTTTATTCAAATTCAAAAATCTATTTTTATATGTTTTCTTATACGACGTCATTCGGAGGTTATTATAGTTCGAAATTTTCAACATTTTGTACAAATGTAAATAATTTTTCATTCAACATTTTTTATTGCAAAATTGGTTTGACAGTTCATTGTCCCAGCAGCTGCGTCGATTCGTCTATCTATATTCTTCTACCATGGTTCATTGTACCGGAAGCTGTGTTGATGCGGCTACCTGTATTATTTTGGCATGGTATGTATACTTGTATCGTCCCGATTTGCGTGGCTATTCAAAAGCCAGAAAAAATGATTTGCGTCGTTGCAATTTCAAGTTGCGTCGCTCGGAGCTACATTGTGGATTACTATTTTTTGCATTTGCAGTGCCTGATTTAGCATATTTTCTGTTGTTTAAGCCATTAGTTGTTACAAACAAATATATATATGAAAAAAATTTTACAAATTCAACAAACTTTAAGGTAAAGGTAAGGTCACATTGAGCAAATATTTGACGAAAAATGTCAAATATTTCTTTGTCACAATCTGACCACCAAATATTATTTGACGGTAAATACAAAAACAGCTGATTTTGGGAAAACAAAATTATTTGCCAGAAAACAAAAATTTGACCAGTGTGTCCATAATGTGAACACCTATGATCAATTATTTTCCTCTTTGTGGTCAAACATTTATTTGACGGTGCAAATGTTTTGTAAGATCAAACAAGGAAAAATATCAGTTTAAAACATTGGGCAGCATTTCGCTTTAAGAACAGGAGCATTTGTAACATGATGTTTAATGAATAGAAAAGCAAACGAATACAATAGGTGGTTTTGTTTATTTGATATTTTTGAATTAACTGAATTTGAATGTTTAGTAAAAATTTAATATATGGTCTGTTCCAGAACTGCAAGATGTAAAAGTTTTTACTACGATTACCGATTTTCCCTTTATTATATCGAAGAAAATTGACAAACTAGTAGATTCTTGCAGGTTCAGGAATAGGATATAGGTAGATGCATCAACGAAACATTGATATGTCAAACATTTTGAAATGTTTTGACAAAAATAAGAAGATTTTTCTATGTTTTCTTTTACGTAATGATATGTATTTTTCAACAATTTTTACAAATTTCAATAATATTTCATTCATAATAGTTTTGTCAGTTCATTGTCCCAGCAGCTATGTCGATGCGACTATCAGTATTCTTCTACCGTGATACAAACATACAAGAATTCAAAAAAAAAAAATGTTCTGACAAGGAATTTATTCCACAACAGCAGGTCATTTGCTTCCCTTCTCCAAATAAATTATACCCGATACTCCATTTTCTTTATGTCTCTCTTTCACTCTCTCTGTCTATTTCTCTCGGCCAAATAAATTTATGTTTCCTCACAGTTTGATCAAACAATTTATTGGGAAAATATATTTTACGAATGTGAACATGTGTCAAACATGTTTCCCCATAGCACTATTTGACGCTATTTGGTGACTGTTTGAACAAACAAAATCTGTCAAATATTTGACTGTAATGTGAACATCGAATCAACTTTGTATGAATTTCACATTTGTTCAGTCAAATATGGGAAAACAAATTTCGATCAAATATTTGCCCAGTGTGACCGTACCTTTAGACATTTTTGTTAAAAAATTAGTAAGACCATCCAATCAAATATATATAAGTGTTGTTGATTTAGATTTACTATGTTTTCAAAAAACTATGTTTTCAATAAAAAAAGGTATATTTTGCGTAAGAATGAAATTCAGAAATCTTTGGTTCGCGTTAGCCGGTGTAGGACATACCCAGAGGAGAAAATCTCAAGCTCCGGCCGAAGGCCGGCTATTTACAAAAAGTGCCAAATTTAGAAAAGCTTTGTTATTCCGACGACTGCTACGCGAAATAAACACTTTTTTTTATTAAAAACATCATTTTAATGAACTGGTTAGAATCGGGTTATGCGGATGGAAAGACCCATATCTCTGGACCCAAAAAAGGTATTAGCACAAATTGTAGCATTTTGGAAAGAGTGTCAGCTATAATTTGGAAACAATTTTGTTGACCTCCATAATGGGCCCTTTTTTGACTTTTTGGGGGTTTCATAAAAAATCCGGGTCCAAAAAATCGATAATTTGACTATAACTTCCGAACCATGACAACTTACCCCTTCATGTGAACACTTGTTGAATAGGTATTTCCATAAGCTTTCAATCGATGCCCATATTGTCTATATCGGGTAACTGGATCCGGGTCCAGGCGGGGTCTTGATCCCGGACTTTTGGGTCAAAAATCTGGGGTCCCGGGTCCGTCCCCCAAGAAAAAAATAGTTTCCCGGGATCAGGGTAAAAATACCTACCTCTGGAAAAAATTCGAAAAAATCTAAGAGTTTTTACTAAACTAGAGTTGTTCCCATTTTTTATATTAATTATAAACATTTTTTGAAGTAAATGGAATAAATAAAAATGTATTCATACTTGTTTTTTTATCAAAAATTTAAAATTGTTTGCTTTGTTTGGAATATTTTCCCAAGTAAATTAAATTTCAATGCATTTTGTATATGTATAGAAAAAGGTGATTCGATTTGCGTAATTTTAAGTTGCGTCGCGATTTTCCGGTCCCCATTAACGACGCAAGTCGGGGCTCTAGTGTACTTTAGTCCTGATTTATGCTAGGCGAGTTTCCTGGCGGCAATTTTAATCGTTCTATTTTAAACTTGCCTCTTGCATCTGTATAAGGCCAATGATTACAGCAATTTTCTTTTTCAACATTCCTCTTTTTGGATTTTTTTATATTTTCTGTATAAAGTCTAAAAAAAAACAATAGGAAATGCCAGAAACTTGACAGTACATGCAATTGTTTCCATTTTCATATCATATATCCCTCTCTCCTACAAACAAAGAATTGGCCATCATGTATTACACGAATGTGTAGCTTAAGGTGAGGTCACATTGGGCAAATATTTGACGAAAAATGTCAAATATTTCTTTCTCACCATCTGACCACCCAATATTATTTGACTGTAAATACAAAAACAGCTGATTTTGGGAAAACAAAATTATTTGCCAGGAAACAAAAATTTGACCAGTGTGTCCATAATGTGAGCACATAAAAATTTATACAAATGTTAATATATGGTCTGTCCCAGAACTGCATGAACGTAAATGTTTTTACTAGGATAACCGATTTTCCCCTTTATGATATTGAAGAAAATTGCAAAACTTGTATATTCTTACAGGTTCAGGAAACGCCAATAATAAAATGAATGCACACATAAACACAACAGCATACTACCTGCTACTACTACCATGATTTATATGCATACTTATACGCGCACATATAAAAATACAAAAATGCAAAAAAAAACTTGTTCTGGCAAGGCATTTATTTCACAACAGCTGGTCTTGTGTTTCCCTTCTCCAAAATAAATTATACCCGAAACTCTATTTTCTTTATGTTTTGCTTTTACTCTCTTTCTATTTCTCTCACCATATAAACGTATGTTTCCTCACAGTTCAATCAAAGAATTTCGTGGGGAAAATATTTTTCACGAATGTGAACATATGTCAAACATGTTTTCCCATAGCACAACTCTGTATGAAGAATCAACTCTGTATGAATTACACATTTGTTCAGTCAAATATGGGAAAACAAATTTCGATCAAATATTTGCGCAGTATGACCGTATCGACGCAGCTGCTGGGACAATGAACTGTCAAACCAATTTTGCAATTAAAAATTTTAAATGAAAATTTATTCAAATTCGTAAACATTGTTGAAAAATGCATATCATAACAACCTCCGATTGACGACGTATAAAAAATATAAATATATCTAATTATTTTATAAATATATCTAATAATTTTTGAAAAAAAAAATTTATTTCACACATTTTGACATATGTTCTCAATGTTCTCAAGTGTTGATGCATCTACCTGTATTCTTCTACCATGCTTCTACATATAGAAAATTTGACAAATATGTAAAACACACTCCGTCTGATAGGGCCTAAAGGACTTTAGAAAATGTCAAAATAACAGTCGTCAGTTCTTTTATTTACACTTTTAAGTTGGTTGTTTATCCGATTCGGTCTAGATCAAGCTTTAAAAATGAGCAATTTATTGATTTGTAAAAGTGGATTTTTTTGTGGTAAGCAATATGCATGAAAAATCCACATGTTCATATATGAGTTTATAAATTAAACAATAAGTGACAAAAAAAAAACAACTTATCAATTACACCATACCTTGCAAATATCAATATTTGTCTTAGTCAGAGTCCAAAGTTCTTATGCAGTTAACCGATTTTGTTGCAATATATGGCTCCTTTAAGGGGAGCACCTTGGGGGTTAGATTATTTTGAAATGTTTATCTAAGATATGTATTTTTACCCTAATTATGGGTAAATATGATTTTTTTCGTGAGAAAAGACCTGACTAAAATTCGGGTACACAAACCTGATAATATATGGTTCTTTCGAACTGATATACAATGTATCATATGAAAGCTTATGAAAATTCCGATCCAACAAATAGGCAGAGTAATGTTCACTGGTTAAGGGGTAATACAAGAACGTCCATATTATGGTATCTGGACTTGTCTTTCCAAAATGGGTAACCGGGAATTTTCCATTATCAGGATATATAGTGAGTATCGCCATAGTCATAGCACGACTCAGTCCAAGCTGCAATGAAACGTAAAAAATACTACTATATCTGAGCTCATTCTGTAACCGCAGAAGTTTTAGTAGCTAAAACATGTATTTAGAATTAAACGACAATATTTTTGTTTGCGTGTTTATTATATTGCTAACTATGGAGGCAGACATTCGTACTCCTACACGTGACAGGATTCTAAATATTATTACCCAATCTAGTTTATAGGACACACATTAAAACTATGGTGCATCACCTCAGTAACTTTGCCTACTTTGTTGAATTTTTTTGGTAATTTTGAACTTAAGAACAACTTATTTAGTAAGATTTTAAAAATATGATTATCGAAGTGTACATCGTTTAAGAGTCCTTTGGGAATATCAATAACACAGTAGAGAACAATTAACATCATATTATAACTGCCAATGTTCTGTAAAAATTGTGCAGGAAATGTAAAATGGCAATGTGCAAAGTTAAATTGAGATCACAGACACAGTCATGTTTCTACACATAATCAGCGGTTTTTGGAACTTTCCTTTATATGTTATATTATATAGATGTAATTTGTTAATTTTTCACTAGGTTATTAAAAGAGGCGTGATTTAAAGATTTCTAGTCCATTGCTGTTAAGACGTAGAAAGTGTAAATTTTATAAACAATTGCATAACTGTATATTTTACCCATTGTATTGTTTAGAAGATGTTAATATGCGAAAATGGCTTAGCCCATACGTAGATAGGGAAAAGTACGTATTTTCCTTTTACGAGTGTCAGTGGGATATTTGTGATTAAATGTATGCAACGCATTTCTTTGGTATAGTTTAATAATATATAATGTGGCCTGAAGAATATTAGACCAAACATTCTAACACAATCCAATAGTCGAAATTAGCTGAAGTGCTAAAAGTGCTATATATATATATAGTGCTATATATGAGTATATATATATATATATATATATATATATATATATATATATATATATATATATATATATATATATATATTGTTGGTCGTGGATACATATATATATGCATATATATATATATATATATATATATATATATATAGCACTATATATATATATAGCACTTTTAGCACTTCAGCTAATTTCGACTATTGGATTGTGTTAGAATGTTTGGTCTAATATTCTTCTATCTAGTTTCAGCCGATCCCAACTGATTCAATTACCAAAGGACAAGAATGGATTTACATATAGATTAAAAAGTAGGCGTGGTTAGTTCCTCAGCCCCCATGTTCACATTTATATATATATAACGGAGTCCATTATCCACGACCAACAATATATATATATATATATATATATATATATATATATATATATATATATATATATGCATATATATATGTATCCACGACCAACAATATATATATATATATATATATATATATATATATATATATATATATATATATATATATATATATATATATATATATATTGTTGGTCGTGGATAATGGACTCCGTTTAGAACGGCCGGACCGATTTACATTATTTTTTTGTACAAACATTCCTCATACCCGAGTTAGGTTTTTAAAGAAAAATATTGACCACGCCTACTTTTACGCCCATTAATTCGCCCATGCCAAAATAATGAAGTTATCGGTTTGAAAATTATTACACGAGATATTGTTAACTTTTCATTTAACCCTAAGTATTTCCTGCGGGCTGAGGTATAATAATACCCCTAAACATTCGTCCTTTTGTATGTTTTTGTTATAATTTCTACCGAATTTATTGTAATTTGACATTTAAAGTTTTCAGTATTGTGAAATCAATACCGGTAATGATTGTTTACTATTTAATTTACCATTGTTCCCAATTAAGCATATCTATCTCCTTAGAGACTATGATGCCAAATAAGGGCAAAATCAATTGAAGAATGTGACCAAGACCCTGGCAATAGAAATCACCGGATACCTTCATATAAAGGTTATACCGAAGCATGGTCCCTATATATATATATATATATATATATATATATATATATTTATATATATATATATATATATATATGTATATATATATATATATATATATGTATATATATATATATATATATATATATAAATGTGAACATGGGGGCTGAGGAACTAACCACGCCTACTTTTTAATCTATATGTAAATCCATTCTTGTCCTTTGGTAATTGAATCAGTTGGGATCGGCTGAAACTAGATAGAAGAATATTAGACCAAACATTCTAACACAATCCAATAGTCGAAATTAGCTGAAGTGCTAAAAGTGCTATATATATATAGTGCTATATATATATATATATATATATATATATATATATATATATATATATATATGTATCCACGACCAACAATATATATATATATATATATATATATATATATATATATATATATATACATATATATATATATATATATATATATATATATATATATATATATATATATATTGTTGGTCGTGGATAATGGACTCCGTTTAGAACGGCCGGACCGATTTACATTATTTTTTTGTACAAACATTCCTCATACCCGAGTTAGGTTTTTAAAGAAAAATATTGACCACGCCTACTTTTACGCCCATTAATTCGCCCATGCCAAAATAATGAAGTTATCGGTTTGAAAATTATTACACGAGATATTGTTAACTTTTCATTTAACCCTAAGTATTTCCTGCGGGCTGAGGTATAATAATACCCCTAAACATTCGTCCTTTTGTATGTTTTTGTTATAATTTCTACCGAATTTATTGTAATTTGACATTTAAAGTTTTCAGTATTGTGAAATCAATACCGGTAATGATTGTTTACTATTTAATTTACCATTGTTCCCAATTAAGCATATCTATCTCCTTAGAGACTATGATGCCAAATAAGGGCAAAATCAATTGAAGAATGTGACCAAGACCCTGGCAATAGAAATCACCGGATACCTTCATATAAAGGTTATACCGAAGCATGGTCCCTATATATATATATATATATATATATATATATATATATATATATATATATATATATATATATATATATATATATATATATATATATATATATATATATATATATATATATATATATATATATATATATATATATATATATATATATATATATATATATATATATATATATATATATATAAATGTGAACATGGGGGCTGAGGAACTAACCACGCCTACTTTTTAATCTATATGTAAATCCATTCTTGTCCTTTGGTAATTGAATCAGTTGGGATCGGCTGAAACTATTTGCCCTACCCCGATTTAGGTTTTTATGCAAAGAAAAATTGACCACTCCCAATTTTAAGCCCATTCATTCCTAATATTTGCCAAAATCATGAAGATATTTGTTCCACAGTTGTATACAACGTAATTTTGACTCTCATTCCAACTCTAGGTATCTGTTTGGGGTCAGAGGAACTGGCCACACCTACTGCTTTAAATTTATATGTAAAAAGTTTGAAAGAGTATAGTAATACATCAGTTGAGAACGGCTAGATTTTGATTTGACTCAAATTTTCTTTTGGTTATTTGTAATTACAGTGGAAACGTTATCATGAAAGAAAATTTTGAGAAAAATCGCGGAACTGAACGAATTTACTGCTCTATTATGTATGGAATTTTTGCAGAATTGTTTCAGAATGCCTTTTGGAATTGAAAATTCTTATTGAAAAAACTGAAAAAATCGAGAAATTGTGCATATTTTCTATACATGCTGTTATATGGTTGCCATACCAAAATATTCGATTTTGATTAGATATGGAAAACTTCAATCAGTGAAATACCGAATATGAAGTGGCACTGTAATAAGCGGACTATAGAAAATAGTGGAGTGAATTGAAAATAAAGTAAGAAAAGGATTCATATACTCGGAAAAATAACCTTAAATCATAGGTAACGTTATAAATAAAAATCGCAAAAGAGGGGTTCCCGGATCAAACTTTTTTAGAGTCCATTTTATATAGCTTAACCATACACAAAGGGCTCAAATATTTTGCCCTATACTCCGCAAAATTATGATAGAGTTTTAAAGTTGATACAGTCCTAGGGGTTACATGAGGAATCATTTGTACAAAATATGTATCAGGTCGGTCTACATTGTGATATAGCCCCTTTCAAATTCCTCAAATGTTGGTAATATGAGATTTAAGAAAGAAAAACAAATTCCTTCAAATAATTATAAGTTTAGGACCATGCTTCGGTATAACCTTTATATGAAGGTATCCGGTGATTTCTATTGCCTGGGTCTTGGTCACATTTTTCAATTGATTTTGCCCTTATTTGGCATCATAGTCTCTAAGGACATAGAAGAACTCTTCGCGGAAATTTTTCAACGTCAATGTAGGGCTCATATGAAAGTCCCTGCTGATTTTACCTTTTTCGAGGGTTTTGATTATATTTTCGAACCGATGTGTGTGTTTAGGCTACTTGGGGGTAGAGAACCAATTTGTATTTGTATCAATTTCTGATGAAGTTATCAAAGTTCTCCTCCCCATT